CACGCGGGGCCACCGGAACTGCCTAAGCTGCCATAGAAAAGGTTTTGTGTCTAATGGGGTATTTGCCAGCAAATTCAAGCCACGAATGCTATATATTTCTTTATTTGTAAAGGTGTTTGAAGTCCTTGAATTTACCCTTTGGCCACCTTAAATCTAGTTTCTAATCCCCAGCGCAGTTAATCAAATCCACAGTGGTTTGAATTATGAGATGTCTGGGGGGGATTTATAGCTTGTATTGCTGATTATACCTTGACTTTATTATATTGCAAATATCTAACTTACGGTCACGGCTGAGATTTACAATCCTCAGGTAGGTGCTTAGGATAACTTTTAGTAACTCCAGATGTAATTGGAGGTGACTGATGGGGCTGTCACCACAGATAAACATGTAATCTGTAAAACATTAATGCTTTTAAGACAGGGAGAGAGGAGGCAGAATAGGTGAAAAGGGTGGGTCAGCCTTAAAAAAAAAAAAAATTAATTGGGTATATTGCTGAGTATGGCTCCAGGATGCCTGGTCTGGCTGAGGCATCCCTGCCTGGGTAGGGGTTTTGGGCTTGTTGGTCTCCAGAAAATACCAGGATTTAGATCTTTGTTCTTTCTTGCTCTCAGCAGAAGGTTTTTAGGGTTTGAAATAGCCCTGGGGAGAAGGAAGGGGTGGTAAATAGAAATTGGGGTACTCACAGAGCTGATGCCTGCCTGTCCAGTTTGGGGGAGCTTTGCACCCGTAGCTCTTTTGGACCTGACTGGCAGTTTCTCTCCTGTCTCAGAGGAGCTGCGAGTCCCACACGGGCGCGTGCCTCTCGGCCAGCATGACGAGCGAAGTGGTGGAGAATGAGTATGAGTTTTACTCCAAGGCAGAGAAGTACTGGAAGGATGTGCCCGCCACAGTGGATGGCATGCTGGGGGGCTACGGCCACATCTCCAGCATCGACATCAACAGCTCCAGGAAGTTCCTACAGAGGTTTCTGCGGGTAGGTGGCCTGGTCTGTCATGCTCCCAAAGCCCCGTCTTTCTCCCAGCACAGAACTGGGGTCTTTCCTTCAAGATGCTCCATGGGATCCACAATTGCCTATGTGCTGGGAGAGCTTTACCCTGCAACGGATACCCCAGCCCCATCCTGCATGGTTGCCCCATTTCTTCTCTGTGGGTACATCGTGGTGTGATTCAGTCCTTTGTTGTTGTTCCAGGATGGCCCCAACCGGACAGGGACAACCCGTGCTCTGGACTGTGGGGCGGGCATCGGCCGGATCACCAAGCCCTCTTCAAGACAGTGGACATGGTGGACGTGACAGAGGACTTCCTCACCAAGGCCAAGAGCTACCTGGGAGAGGAGGGCAGGCGGGTGCGCAACTACTTCTGCTGCGGTCTCCAGGACTTCAGCCCCGAGCCCAACTCCTACGATGTCATCTGGATCCAGTGGGTCATTGGTGAGGGTTGCTCTGCTTGTAGGGGTCTCACCAGCCTGTTCTCCATGCAGCTTCTCCTGAGGGGCAGGTGCCTCACACACCAGGGAGAGCTTTGGGCAGGAGAGCTTGAGGATGAGCATCACAGCGTGGGTGGGAGGCTGGGTTGGGGACCTGCCCACCATGGGCACTGCAAGGTCTTTTCCCCCAAACCCTCGGAGGCCAGGGCAGACGTGGGCTGGATGGAGTTGGACAGAGCTGTGGGACACAAGCTGGACACCCCCAAGCTAAAGCTTTGACCTACAAATGGCTTAAATATTTGGCTCCCTGGTGTCCTGGTTTCAGCTGGGATAAAGTTAAGTTTTCTTCTCAGCAGCTGGAATAGTGCTGTGTTTGGATTTAGTATGGGATTTGGTATGAAGACTGTTGATGACATACTGGTGTTTTTAGTTGTTGCTAAGGAAATCAAGGACTTTTTAGCTTCCCATGTTTTGCCAGTGTACAGGTGCACAACAAGCCGCGAGGGAGCAAGGCCAGGACAAAGGACCCACAACTCCTAGTTTAGAATTTCAGTTCAGGCTTAGGGTTGAGATCCAAACTGGCCAATGGAATATCCCATATCATGCAACATCATGCTCAGTATATAGATAAGGGTTGGCCAGGAAGCTTGTTCTCTCTCTTCGGATCTGTTTGAGGCTCTTGCTCTTCTGGGATTGCAGTTTTGGGACTTCTCTGTTTTGGGGCTGCTAGCTGGGACAGGTCAGGCCTTGGTCAGCAGTCTCCTGGTCTCCTCTCCTTGCATGTTCCTTGGGGGTGCTGCTGCAGTCACCTTGTGCCCTCTAACACCCACTCTGCCCCTGCAGGACATCTCACTGACAACCACCTCGCTGACTTCCTGAAGCGGTGCCGTGCCGGCCTGCGGCCCAACGGCATTGTGGTCATCAAAGACAACATGGCTCAGGAGGGCGTGATCATGGATGATGTGGACAGCAGCTTGGATGTGGTCCGTAAGATCATCCGCCGAGCTGGGCTGCACCTTCTGGCTGAGGAGCGCCAGGAGAACTTCCCCGATGAGATCTACCATGTCTATACCTTGGCCATGAGATGAGGGTGGCCGGCAGCAGGAGGTGGTCTCTCCAGGGCCAGCTCGGAGCACGGGCCAGCACGGTGGTTCCTGCAGGGCCGGGAGGGTTGAGGACCATGCCTTCACAGCAGGGTTGCAGACAGTGGTGAGGGTGTCACAACTCCCACTCTCTGGAGCTGGTGGCAAGGACGGGGCTTTGTCTTCCAAGTGGCTGCTGTTTGTGAAAAGAGGTGTTTGCCAAATACATTTTTCTGCTGTTGCACTTCTGCATGTGGGCTTTGTCAGATGCCGTGTTGGCTTGATGCGACTTCCAGGGGTTCTGTATGCGAGCAGAAGGGTCTGCCCTGCAAGAGGCATGCTCCGTGGGCACCAGCAGGCTGCTGACCACAGTTGCACAGGGCTTCTGCTAGAGAACAGGAGCTCAGAGCACCTCTGGGATGGTCTGGGCTCCATTCCCTGCTTGGGTATTTGACCCTTTCCTGCTCTTGAACTTGCTGCTGCTCACAGCAACAAGCTGGGTAAGGCAAACAGGAGAAACCTGTGCCGTTACCCTGTGGTGGGCTGGGGAGGCAACACCAGGTTCTCGGGCTTTGCAGAGGCCTCTCCTTTAAACCCAGGAGCAGGTCTCCCACATGTGCAGCAGAAGAGGAGGTGGATGTAACACTGGGTCCCCATCTTCCTCCAGGGACAGGGGTCACCCAAAGCCCCGCAACCCTGGTTGAGAGCTGGTGTGCTCGGTGTTAACGGGGAGCCCCCTCTGAGCTGCCCCCGGACGCCCCAGCCCACTGCCGCAGCTCACGGTGATGCCCAGCACCTCCTGCTTGAACGCTGCAATGCTACAGCTGCTCCCCCAACACCCCACACCATCACCCAGCTTTGAACACTCCCACCTCCTCCTTGGCCATATCCACAGCGTTTACACAAGTCTGGCCACTGGCTTGTGCCAACCTAATGCACCACAACTCTGCCAACGCTGGCACCACAGCTTGCCAGGTGGGTGAGAAGACCCCAGTTGCAAGCTGGGTCTCATAAGCGATTCCCCCCATCCCCACAGAGCCCTCTCCCTCTAGCCCATCTCTCCTGCAGAAGAAACAAGCCCCTCGTTGTTACAAAAAGGCCTCATTTAATTGCCCATTTCCCATTCCAGACACCAGGGAAATATTTGATCACTCTTTTTTTTTAAACATCAATTCATCAGGATGCACAGCTCCACTTCACGGGGTGGGAAAAGGTAAAACACAGATGCTGCCAGGAAGGCAATGGGTGGAGACAACAGCCAAACTGCCCACGGATCCCTGACCTACCTGCTATCAATTGTACCTGCTCAGAATAGACTCTTCCTCTTTCCATCCTCTTCTGCATCTGTTCCCCCATAACAAACAAAAACCAAACAACAAAAGCATGAGGGCTCAGCTCTGCAGCCAGTCCTTCGCATATCATGAGGAAGCAGATGCCTAGAAGGGGGACCCAGCCAGCTGTGGCAAGGCTGGGACATGGGATCTCCACGTACAGCCCCAGAGTTCGGAGCTTCCGGTAGCAGCTTGGAAAGAAAACCCTCAAGTCCTGCAATTTCTTGTTCCCGGGAAGGAGGCACA